CCTAACTATTCTATGATTCTATGATTATAATCTGTCAGAAGCGGGAATCCTCCAAATTAAGAAGAACCACCAAGTTCCTAAGCAAGTCTCCAAAAAATGGGCTACAGGGGATGGTTCATTCTAGGAAGATACGTATAAATACAACTCTGCAAAAAACAGCTCATGAAGATGACTGCTTAAGGACCTGAAGGCATGAAGGAGTATGGGAGTTGCAAGGACGTGATGGATCCCTTCAGCGTTCAATGAAAAAGATCAATGACTTCAATGGTAAACTTATGCTACACAGCTTTATTTTGAAGTAATAAAACTGCAGCCTGGGGGAAGAGGAAAATTATGAACATCTCAATTCTCATGAGTGGTTTCTGGTACCCAGTTGGGTCAGCCCACTAGCTCACACACCTTCTTAATGCCTCACACACAGTTTTATACCAGAGGGTAAGTCTTCAATAAGAGGAAATCATGATTTCCTGGTACTCACCAGCTGATTAGCTTCAGTCTACACCACTAAGTCAAAAGAAAGGCTCTCTGTGCCAAGAATTATGAAGCCTAGATTAGGCAGGCAACAGAGCTTAAAATCTTAACGAATCAGATGATGGATTTCTCTTGAAGCACAGCAGATATCATTTTCTTTTATAAAACCCCGCTTGCTTGATGGATTGTTGCTGAAAGGTTCCCCAAGATAAGTAGGTTTAATGACGAACTGTTGATTGTTTCATGTACAGAGGAATGAAGAAGCGCCTTTGATAAGAGGCATAAAGAAGAATGCATAAAGACCAGAAGGAAGAGACATATAATGATCTACCTGACTGCACTTTAAAAACCCTCTTGGTTCTTGGAGGCACTATAAACTATGCTCATTATTTAAGCATCCAGTTTGTTTTCTTAAGGCTCATAGATTGTGATTAGTAAGCCAGCTTTGCTGTTTACCTCCTGACCTTACTTACCAGTATCTCAGGTCCACTGTTTACAACACTTTGAACATGGAATCTAATGGTTATAAAGCTCCCAAATGGAGTACTGTCAACAGAAATTTTGTATTTCACCTTCAGAGTCAGTTTCTGTTTGGATTTCTGTTCAACAGCAACATTTTTACAACACAACCCTCAGGCAGGGTCTCACCACACACCAGCTTGGGTGCATAACAGCATTACTGTGTGTGCTGAGTGTCCTTATGAGAATTGCAGTTTCTTAATATCCTGAGCAGGTCACTTTGCAGACTAACCAGCCAGCTGTACTCACACCTCCTCCCAACTGCCAGCCTGTTCAAGGATGAATACACGGGATTAAGCATCTTGTCAACTATTTACTCCCCCAAACTGAAATAAAAGCCTCCAAAAAAACAAAACAAAAAAAAAACTGCAAGAAGGAATTAGACAGTTTTGCTGGCTCTAAATACAGTTTTAGAAAGTACAGCCACAATAGGTCTGTAATAGCTAAATGCCTAAAGCTCCACATTTATTAAGTTTCAAGCAGCCCTGTGTACACAGACTCAGCTCCTAGTACTACATCACCCAAGAAACAATTACAGCAAGAGTTTGAAGCTCCCCAGTGAAGTCAGCCATATTCTGCACCATGGGAGTGGTTCTTCTTTGCCCCAGGAAATTCATCTGTGCAGTATCATGTACAGGGCACAGGCCTTCACAATTATTCAGCATTAATATTACAGTTGCTTTACTTGTTCATCTCAGGTCAGATTCCAGTTGCACAAGACATTATACAAACACTGGGGTGGAGTGGGACTGTGTCTTACCAAAAGCCCCAGTGGGAGAAGTTGCAAACCTGGAGATGTCACTTTCTTTACAAACTTTTTTAAAAAACAAACAAACAAAATTTCAAGGAAACTAACTCACCTTTGAACCTGTTCAGAAACACATCTAGATAGACTTCTCCTATTCCCACTTCATATTTTAACATACAAGTAATGAGATTTAAAAGATCATATAATGGTGTCAGATAATTCATTCACTGCTCCCACAGCTGAATGAAAGCAGCTGAATACTCCTCTGAATGACAAGCAAACCCTAAAATCATTCCAGTATAATAAGCACGGAAGAAAGCTTATCAACTAGTTATGCCCAGTGTTGTTAACTGCAACCTCACACCTAGCAGCATGCACACTGTTAATCCTGTATAACCAGATACAACAGAAGCATTGCATGAGAAAAGCCATGCTAGCAGGATGACTAAAGCAGTGCTGGTGCTGAACAACTCTAGCACAAAGGCTTGAGATACAGCCAGTGATTTAAAATCTAATGTCTGCTTTTTAGCAGTTACCATCCTTTTATGTCTTAGCATTAATATTTAATCTTATTTTATTTAAAAGCACTATAAACCAGCTTGTTTGCTCAATGAGAGATTAAAGCACACTTGGTTTTATTTATTTAGGTGCTGATCTGCTTTGAAGTGGAAACCCAATGAGAGCCTACCTTAAAAGTCTGCAGAAACTTCTCCTGTAGCTGAGCCGTTGACTTGCTGCAGCCACACTGGGAGGGAATGGAGGGCGCGAGGGGAAGTAAGCCAATGCAGCAGAAAATATCAGGGAAACCATTCCAAATTCTAAACAAAAGGGCAAAGAAAAACAAAACCGAGAACAGATGTTAGCATCTAAAGACTGATTTTGGTACAGCATTGTTATCAGCCAGCCTCTGATACATAAATCCCACCACAAGTGCTTTACCGCTCCTGACAACAGAACTCCATAACTTGAAGGAGAATTTCTTCTTTCCTCCCCAAGCAAGATTTCAAATTGAGATGGGAAATCAATGAGATGGAGAAATATTGGCAGTCCATTCAAAGTGACAGGAGCTGCAGAGAACCAGTCTCACACATGGGGAATTCAGCAAAGCAAAAAGAAAGCTTTTGTTTTTTCTCTTCAGAGAGAACTGCATTATGAAGATCTGGCCATGTTTCCACACTGTGGAAGTTATGCAGTGCAGGTACCAGTGTGCTAGAGACTTGAAACAGATGGGACTGGGGAAGCCTCAGGGTGTGAAATGAGCATTACTTGGTGCACAGGATGATGATGGCAAATGAAAGGTCAAGCAGGGTAGCATCTCAGACACAAACAGTATTATCTAGCAACAGATTTATTAAGAGAAACACATAGGAGCAGCCATTGCTCAAGAATAGATAGAGCATGGGTAATAGGGAGTAAAATGAAAGAATACAGCTGTTTGCAGACGATTGTCTTGTTAAGCAGCAGGTATTCTAGATCTCTGAAAAATTTCATAGCAGAAGTTTGGACCTGAACTTGCAAAGTGCTGAGCGCTTCACAGAAATTACTCAGCAAGCCCTGTCATCAGTCATTTTGAGGAAAAACAACTCTACCTACAGTCAGTCTAATTAATTTGTTCTACAGGCCTTTTTACAATGTATATCATGTTCTCCACAGTCCTCGTTCCCAGTATTTCTCCAATCCCCTTTGAAAACAAGATTCTTTGCTGCTGCAGAGAAAAACGTGTACCTCAAGTGTGTTATCTTAAAAGAAGCTGTGATCTTATAACAAAGAAGTGTTCACTGACACCACAAACAAATTCCAGCAGAGCTGGATACTCAATTGCAATTTTCTTTTTTCTTCTCTTTTTTAATAAATCAATATGAACATGGCACTTTGCCAGCTCTTCTGATAAAACAGAAGAAAATAAATTCAGGAAACTTAAAAGTAAATAACACTTGGAGTTTAAATATATCAGCTGGAGATGGGGAAGGGAAATGAATGCTTCTATTTGGTATGTGGAAAAAAGTCTACACTAAATTTCTTTTGAAGCCATACAGGGAATGTGACAGTGCCATTCTTCACAATCAAATACTACAGGATTCATTTTGAATTATGCAGCATCTCTTTTTCTGCTATGGTCTAATTGCATATTCTGGGGGTCAAGGACACTTTAACTAGACCTTCTCACTATGCCCTCTGTTCTCCAGAAACTAGATTAATTTCTATCTTTGTGTACATTGTTTTTGAGACTGTGAGCAGTGAATAAAGAACTGGCTGTAGGTGATCATTCCAGTTCCAAGAAAGGGGTGAGATGCTTTGTCACTACAGGATGATATTAGACAGGAAAGCAAGGCTTGCCAAGGGCTGTTTATCCCCTTTCTCCTGCATCTAGGTCTACATATAGTTATACATATGTATACATGCATACACACACTTTAATCACCTACTAAAGGAAGATTATAGACTGCAGACAGGTATAGCCATCAAGAATGTGACCACACAAACCCATAAACTTTGTCCGATATGCTTATTATTTAACTTCATTATACTGCAATGCCATAAGGGGAAAGGCTAGGTCTTTTTCTCAAGAACACAAACCACATTGATAACTTTTTAAAGTCACAGTAATATTTTATAAAACAGGTGCCCATCTGGGGCCTATTCTATGCATTGCCTCAAGATTCCTGCCAAATTGCTGCAGCAGGAGCAGTATAGTAACACTTAATTTTTTTTTTATTATTAAATTCAGCATGTAGTCCTTGTAGTACCTTCCTGCAACTCTTTAATGTTTTCCAGTGTTATACTCCCAGGCTAACAAACTTGCCTCACAAGCACTGCCCTCAAGCACAAAAGAGAAGCGCAGAATTCACTTTGGAAACTAAAGCAGCTCCCTCTACTGAAGAATGAAAGTCTCTAGCGCCATTTTAGCTTTGTGTATCACACTTGCATCCCTACCAAAAGTCCAGGTACCACCAAACGCATCCAATTTCTTACTTGTTGCCTTACTTCCTCATTAGGAAACCTGCACCTTTATGTCTACCACCATTTACCAGACCAGATAAAGAAAAATACATTCCCAAGACAAGTTTTAAACTGAAACTAGGGAGCAGAAGTAAGCAAAAGAGAAAAGGTAAGAAATAGGTCAATATTGAGTCCAAGGGAGCTGGAGTCACAAAGAAAGGGGCTCTTCCCCAGGAGCTATCAGCTTTTGAACAGTGCAATGGATGCAGCAAAGCACTTAGAATTGGGCAAATCAGCATAAGTTAGTGTGCAGCTGTGTATAGCTCTTGTTAAGGAGTGAATCTGGAATGCTTCACAAAAGGTGGGTACTGCACCACAGTGACCCATGACTGTCAAAGTGGAGAGACACCTGAATCTTAGCATAGGCACCCTGAAGCCACAAACAGGAAGAACACCCACTTTTGCAGAGACACAAGCCTACTTCATACAAGGTTTTTTTCCTTCACATAGGCTACTTGTAACATAAAAACCTACACAAACCAAGACACCCTCCTCCCCATCTTGTCCCCAAATGTAAAAGGGGAGTAAGGGCACTCGAAATCACACATATGAATTTTTTTTTTAAACAAATAATAATTTTACACTGATATTTGGAGAAGCATATGGCTAAAAGCTCTGGCTGCAGATGAGAATAATTCAAGCTTCCTTATGCGACTCAGGTAATACAATTCAATCCTGATTTTCTCCATCCGTACTATTTCAGCTATGAACCAGAACGTGCAGCTACACAGAAGACACAGAGAGAGGCTGTGGTAATTCAGCTGAGCTCTTAGTCCACGTTTGAGATAAATGAACAGCAACTTATTAAAACACAGAAGAGACTGGAGTTAACAGAACAATTTCAGAATGGGTTTATAAGCATTTGCTTCATAATCACGCTTGAGGTTAAGTCCTTGGAAAATTTGCACGCTCTTGGCATGCTACTGATCACAAGTTAACAATTCACATCATTACTGTCTTTTAAAAGTCATCACCTAACTTTCTTTTAAAAGTTTATGGAGGCTGTTATCTAACATTACTTCACACAAAAGCAACAAACTCCATCATAAATACTATTCCGTTAGGAATGCTGAGTGCTTATCCTGTGAAACTGGCTTTCCCATAGCATCTGAAAGGAGAAGTCATAGCAAGCCTGACCACACTTACTGAGAGAAGTGGGGAAGAGGGGAAGAGGGACACTTGGGTCCAGTTCCCTGTTCTCCTATATTCTGTAAATGCATTTACCAGTAATATGCAAAGTCAATTTGAGCTTTGTTTTCTGCCAGACTGATTTAGGGGTCAAACAGCACCTTACTGCACCTAACGGGTATTTTTTGGAACACAGGCAGAACTACTGCTGCCCCATAAAACACAATTCCTAGGAAGCTGAAGAGCTGTTGTCAAATCATCTTATGTTGGGATCAACAATCCCAACATGTCTACAGGATGTTCCCAAACCCTTACTGGTCAGAAAGAGCCATGCTGGAACACGGGACAGGCAAGAAACACGTCTGAACCCTGGTGGCAAGCAAGATCCACCCCTGTTTCTGAAGAAAATGCTTAAGAAAACCTCCCAGAAGAGAAAGTCAATCTAATGGGCTGCTGAAAGCAACATTTCTAGTGCTATCAGACTTAAACCAGTGGCTTGGGGCACAAAACTGTACTTCCTGTAAGTAGACGAATTATTCTTTCTCCATGGAAAACCTGGAGAGGGAGAACTAATGCATGTCTCTAATCACTAGATTTTTTTTCTCCCCTTAGCTCCTCAGGACAAAAGCCAGCTTGCCTTCATTTTTCCTTCTTTCACACTGGCTATTTTCATCTGCCATGAGATTTTTGGGGTCTAACATATTTACCTCTGAAAAAAGCCTAACCAACCCCAAATTTCCTTGTTGTTCCAACACATTCAAGTCCAGTAAAAAGTAGGTTACTCAAAAATACTTGCCGAAATAGTGATACAACTTCTCTCACATTCTTTACGATGAGCATTAAAGTG